CCCCCCCACCCCCAGAATGAAAGGGAACACATATTTGGGCTTTTGTTTTTGTTTTGAACCTCAAGTGCCTGATGAACCATCCTTTGAATTTTTTAAGGAATTCTGCTAACTTCAATATGCATACTTCCCCAGTCTTATCAGCAATTTGTTTTTTTTTTTCACTTTGATAAAACAATGAAAAGCAGATGTCATTCATCTTATAGAGATTGACATCTTAAAGTTTTATAATTTGGTGCATTTATGTTATAGTTGTGACTGTTGAGAAAAAAAAAATGAAATCTTATCAGAAAGATTGTCGTCGCCACTTTTGTGCCGAGTCATTGTTAAAATGATGGACAAGCACGAACATAAAATGAAGGACGATCATGAACGGTAGAAGAATAGGAAGACTCTTGTACGAGTTGACCTTTTTATGATTGAACGAACGTAGTGAGTTTCAAAACCCGTTGCCGCCAGATAGCAGCCTCATTAGCACACATAACTGTTTTTTCATGATAAGAGGAATATGAGATTTCCGCACCTTTGAAGTGGCAGCCACAAGGTGAACAGGTAGACGCAGATTTTTAGCAACATGCGAACGAAGCACCGTCTTACATGGCAGTTATCTGAACTTGGCTATGGTAATGTGAACCATAATCTGTCCTTAGAGAGGATCAGATGAGAGGTTATCCAGTAAAACATCTAAGATTTCTCCAGTTTTCTCCGTTTTCTCGTTGATTTTTTGTGGTGCTACAAATCTACCTTTTGTTTGGGTGAGAATTATGAAATAAAAGGCAGCTAATTAAAGATGTGTATTTTTCATTAAGAGCAAGTGTACCCAGTAAAGCATAACAGGCAGGCCTAATAGTTTTGTAACAATGCTCATTTTTTCTGACCTTGTTTCCTGTGTCATTGCGACGACGTGTCATCGTAGTAAACAGTTGTGGCTTTTGGTTTGTTAGACATAGAGGTATAACATGCAAAGTGAATGAACTCGTGTTCGTGTTATTGTGCTCAGCTTTTGATGGGTATGCTCCTAATGTCTACCTCTGCAGTGATTTGTTGAGGTACTTCTGTGAACTCGGTGACTGGGGTGGCATAAGAATTGGGGTTTAGTGTCACAGAATGCTGTGTTGAGTGACCCCTTTATTCTACGTTATCTGTCATAATTTGAAATAGAATTTGACGGATATGAGGTTTCACATGAAAAAGCTGCTTTAACCATGTAACTTGTTTGCACTGATGTTCAGTGCAAGTTGATGTGTTACGAAAGCACTGTTCTTTCTGCCTGTTTAACTGAAAGTTGATTCAAATGCAGATTTTAATGTATTTTTCTATACGTTATCATTACTGAGATTTGTGAAGTAGATTTTCATGTTTATGTCATAACCAGAAGGTCTGCCAAACATAAGTTGATGAAATTCAAAAGGTATTATGAATAATTATGAAGTTATGATTAAAGCAAAGAGAGCTCAAATATCCTTAGAATATAATTATCTAAAAAACGAAATGGCCTCACTTTAGGTGATAGTTCTTCTCTTTGAATAATTATCTAGGGTACTTGAATAAGAAATCCGGACACTGTAAATATCAAGATGTTGTTTGATGTCTATTTACTCTTACTGGGAAAGTTTCCCTATTGGATATCCTCTTCATTAAGCCATCAAAGGGAACTCCATGGTGAGAAAACACTGAAGTTAAAAAGTGTCATTTTCCACCTGGTTGAACGAACTATTCCCCGTCATTGATTAGAAGAGAAAAGTGAGTCATACCTGTAGTGTTGAAACAGGGCCCTCTTTATCAAACAGCAATCATCTATAGAGAGGGGAAATGACTTCAGGTTTAATTACTCAAACCTAGTTCACTTAATTCTGAGAGATCCTCAGAAAAATTCTCGAGAGATCCTCAGAAAATCTGCGGTGGTTTTTGGAGGGGATGAAAGATGTATTTAGCACAGTGTGTGTTAGGGAGTTAATGGCAGTCCAGCTGAGTGGTTGGCAGATTTTGGAGCCAGGGCAGAATTTAACCTTGTTGAGGAGAGATAATACTGAGAGCAGATCTCGGATATATTTTCCCAGATATTCTGCACTGAGAGACTTCTTTTGGGGCATAAATGTTTAGGAATAAAGAAGATTAAGATGCATTGTTTATATGTGATTATAGATATGTATTGGAATTAACTAGTTTGGAACTTATAATTATTAATGGTTTTACAGTTTTAGGCATAGGATTTTATATTAAAGAATTTACGAATTCCTTGAAAATTGATCTCCAAGTGTACACATATACTGGCATAGTATGGTGCCAATGATGGGAAAGTGACTAGTTTCTTTTATGTTTTTAGTTTAAACTTGCCAACTTAAAGGAAGTGGTTCCATTGAAAGGTTGTGAGAACAAGACCCCTGCTAGAGTCTTGATGAAACATTGTCTTATTGTGCAAACTTCCATCTTTATTTTCTAACGATATGTAGCCCATGGGCTCTTTGGAGTATCGACCCAATGACATATAGTTCATACACACACAGAGAAAAAAAATTGATTGACTTTGACAACAAAGAAATTCTTATTCACAGTAACAAAGACAAATCTGATTAATTAGCGGGAACTTTTAATGTTACCGAGATAACCAGTTCACCTGACGAGAGAAATGACACGAAATGATGCCATGAGTCACGTTCAGCGGTTCACTTTGATGATTCGAAACAGGAGAGTGTCGGAGATTCTATCTTTCATTAGATGACAACACCTGTATTGAGTTTTTTTCTGGTTATTGAGCAAAGTGCATTATGTCTTTTTGGTTAATTATCTCCCTTCGTTATTATCTTTGATGACAATGACTCATTCAGGATTTCTCATCACGGAGAAAAGTTGTCCTAAATAGCTTGAGGTTGGATGGCGTGCTCGTAAAAAAGATCTTTTGGATGAGGTTTTTCCTCCTCCTAGCATGCTAGATCATTACCTGTGTATCTTTTCGTAATGTCACCATTGATTAGTTTCCCTTTGCAGGAAATATTGATGGTACTGTGGTCTATTATAGCTAGATAAAGTTTTACAAGTCACCGCACTAAGAACAAGGGTCGTGTATTAGGTCTGGCAAAAAAAGAGAAAAAAAAAATGGAAAGTGGAGTTTCGACTTATATTTTGGCTGTTTCCATCGTTGTTTGTGTAATGAAAACACAACTAACAGCAAGAAGCCATCATACTGTGTAATGTGAAATGTCAGTCCACTTGAACATGCCCACTCACACTGAGAGTTTCAAACAAGAAGAGCAGGTCCTTTCTGACTTCTTTCTTCTGTGAAACTAAGTTGAAAATAATTTCAACATGTAATTTTTAACATAATTTTCTTGATATGTTAGAAGACACCTTTATGTTCACATAACAATGAATTATTGGGGGGGGGGGGGGTGCAATTTCAGAATTTGTAATGGAATTTAGAAAATATTTCAATAAAAGGATTGCTCTGTTGTGTTTTTGCAGGAAGTATTGCTGCATCGTTCTAACAGTGAGGAGAAAATAGGACTCACATTGTGCTACGGCTCTGTAGACATTGAAGAAACTGATATTTACGTCAGTGAGGTAAGAGCTGGAAGATTTTAAAAATTAAAAAGCACATTTGAGAAAGCTTTAAATACAATTGTACAGATAAAGACAGATTTAGAAATAAGTACTTAATACAAAGAAAAACCTGTTAAGAATTTCCAACAGAGAATGATTTTTTTTTTCATTTCAGATTGAGCCTTACAGTATTGCTGCCCAAGATGGCCGAATCAGAGAAGGGGATCAAATTTTACAAGTGAGTATCAAGGGCATCCCCCCACCCCCCACCCCCACCAGGGTATATAGGTGTCTAACCCTAATTTAATAAGTAACCAATAGCAGCAAGAAGGCAGTTCAGTTTTAGAACTCATCTTGCAGTTAATTGGCCCCATTGTTTTCAGGCTTCAGTCATTCATCAACTCTGTCAATTGATCAATAAATGATGAGGGTCACCTGCTCCAGTGTTCTGTCATCAGCTCCCCACCCAGGTCCAGTTGTCCACTAAGGATGACTGACCAGAGGATGATACTAATAAGATAGGATAGAAGCTAACACTGAAGTAATTGGAGATAAATGAAGTCCCACAGTTAGCTTGTTGATAATGTTGAGTTGATTGCCTCATTGGTAATGAGATAAGACAGTGGCTTCCCTCCTATCCTGGGAACATTGGAGAATCAAGTCAGTGTTAGTTTTGGTTCTTAGTGCACTGCTAACACCCTGAGCTTCAGAGCTAACTTGACACTAACCTTTTCACTGTAGCCTATCTCTATCGTGTCAAGTAACCTCTGACGAAAATAGTTTGACCTATTTTATATAAGCCAATCGAATCCATGTTTCAAAATTTTTCACCAAAGTTTGGTGAAAACGCTGATTGGTTGATCATCAATCGGCAATCCTCGGCTGATTCCGCAAGCTCCATACTAACAACATAGTTATTGTCGAGTGCGGAGACATCCGAGTAGTTCCGAGTGGTTCCGAGTGCATAACCGTACACAAAGAAAGCATGGAGTATATCGGAATTGAAACCAGAGCAGTATGATGCCCTGCATCATTATCTACTGAGGGATGATGTATTTTGGGTGCTGCCCACAGGTTACGGCAAGTCCCTGATATTCAGCCTTATCTTTGATTGGTCCGGATTTGAACAAAGCGCGCTTTGACTCGTTCGCGTTCATTGGCTAGATCGTTCAATGAGTCATTGAGTGCGGGCTTTAAATTTGATTGGCGGGCGGCGGGGGCACTCGAATCTGGTCAGAGGTTACTTGACACGATGGAGATAGGCTACAGTGAAAAGGTTAGTGTCAAGTCAGCTCTGAAGCTCAGGGTGCT